TGAATCAATAAAAATGTAAAAAAAAATAATTACTAGGATTCTCATTAATAGTCAGAACTGATTTTTGCTCTAAAGTAAAATTTCTGGAAGACTTCAGATAGTTCTTTGCTCAGATGTTACCACCCCAGAGAGATCTTCCCTCTAAAATGCTGCCCTCTCCACTGTATTTCTGTTCTCTTACCTGCTCTGTTTTTCTTCAAGGCTTCAACCACAAGGCTGGTGTTACTTGTTTATCTGTGTCCCTCACTGGAATGTAAGAAGGCATGGGCCACATTGTTTTGTTGTCTACTCTATTACCTGTACGTGCTTAACAAATACACGTGTTTTTTAACAAATATTTTTTAAATGAATGAATGAAAGTAAAACCCAAATATAGAAATAATTTTAATAATAGACTGTGCCTGAAAGTCTGTTTGGAAATAAGAGGATGAGGGAGATACTGAAGTGGAAACCCTTAGGCAGCTGGTGTTGCTCAAGAACTGTATTCAAGACCGAGGCCCCTCAGTGTTCTTGTAGTTCTGTCTTTAAGTCATGGTTCACGCACGAGGAGGGAAGCAGGATGATTATTTGTTGTTGTTTTTGCTGGGGGTTCATGGGCTTGAGCCCAAGCCCTCGCCCTCGCCCTCATGCATGCTAAACACGCACTCTACCACTGAGCTGTGCCCTCCCCCTGCTGCCCTCCCAGGGTAGTTATTTGGAGACAAGTTTGAGAAGGTAGATTGCAAACCCATAGTCCGTTAACAATAGATAAGAATGTTAGTGTAAGTACTATTTGTGGAGAATGTAAAAATAAGAGACTAAGAGCACAGTATGTGTAGACTGAGGAAATTTCAAATGATAATGTATGGGAAACTTTTGGGATAGTGCCTGGCACGTGGTCACCCTGAAGGAGCAGCAGTGCCCTCAGCGAGGACCCTGAGACTCTCGGGTCCTGGGGGCAACTTTCAGTTTCGTACTGGCTGGTGCCAGTGGGGTGACCTCGGGCAGATCGTTTCTCCCTGGGCCTCAGTGTCCTCATCGCTGGCCTCATCGCTGGTCAGAGAGAGGGAATTACCACTGCTGGGGCTGAGACAGACTTGGAACATCATCGTGAGGAAGAGGGAAAGACCACCTCTAGCTGGGCAGGCTAGAGCAGCCTCTGTGGAGGAGGTGAGATTTGGACTGTTTTTGTTTTTAAAGATAGGCTAGGACTCAACAGTGGAATTAGAGTGTTCTAGTAACATGGAATTTAGAACCACAACCCAGTTGATTAACGCCCATCAAACCAGGCTGAGTGAATTCAGTGCTTAAAAAAAATTATTCTGCTTGGAAATAGTAACTCACAGAAAAGTTACAAGAATAAAAGTAGTACAGGGGACACCCTTCACCCTTTACCCAGATTTACCAGTTGTTAACATTTTCTCCCGTTTACTTTAACATTTGCCTGCTCTTGCTTGTGCTGTGTATTTTTCCCTGAGCCACTTAAGAATAAGTTGCATATCTCATGACCCTCATTACCTAAATACTTCAAGCGTGTTTTCTAAGAATAACAATAGTCTCTTCTATTGCCGCAGGATGGTTACCAGCTTAGGTCATTTATAGCTTTTTTCCTGTCAGTGTGGACCCAGTCTAGGATCAGGTATTGCCTTTGGTTATCATGTCCTTTGGTCTCCTTTAATGTGAATTCAGTTTTTAAATGAAATTCTGTTATAAAATGTGTTTTGTTTTATTTTTAGATGAAATGTCAGTAACTAAAACTTTTCATCCTGAAGTCCTGTTTTTGATATGGCATAGGACTGAACATTTCTCAGTAACTTGCTGTCTTAGTCAGCCTGAGAATGTGTTTACTCATCTGAATTTGTTCAAGACTTCACTTTTTCTTTCTGAGACTATACTGACACAGATACGCACATACTTCACAAGGGAGAATTAAGAGATTAGAATGGCATACAGCTATTAAGTTAGATTAAGTATCAGGTTAAACTTTAATAATTTTTTGGCGGGGGAATTTTTGTTTTTATCAATTTATAGTTGGTCCTATATTTTGCAAAACTTTCGAAAATTCAAGCCATGTAACAATCATTATAGAAAAATTAGAAAATATACACAGAAACATAGAGAACAAAACGACTTGTTTTTAAGCCATTACTGCAGAATATCCATCATTAACCTTGTTATAGCTTTCCGGATTTTTGAAATGGGACATGATGTAACTATAAGATACTGTACCAGCTTTGCTTTGTCTTGTCACTGAATCTCATATTAAGAACTTTTTTCTATGTCATATGCATTTATTCTTAATCCATCGTAGTATCTAGAGTTCCTTGGTTTCAGGCAAGGAAAACCTACACTGACCAAGTCAAGCAAGAGGGAATTTCTTGGAAGTCTGGGGGCTTACAGAGAGTCCGCGCTGGGAACACCTGTCTGTGGTCCTTCCGTTTCCTCTCCCAGCGCTTCTGATTTCACAGGAGAACTCACTCTGCCTTCTCTGATTTCCAGAGTGTGTATGATTCCACTCATCCTAAGAGTTAGGACCTCAAATCGTAGACCCTATAGTTCTTGTCAAAAGCCTGGCTGAGAAGTGAACATTAGGGAAAAGAGGCTCTTCTAAGAACCTTATCTCCTTTTCTAAAAATAGATCTAAACCCTGCTACTCCTCATAGTCTCTTAAGGAGTTTTTTTAAGAAGTTAACATTTGATCAGGTAAATTAAGGACTGGCTGCATCATTTGCAGGGCTCTGTACAAAATGAAAATATGGGGCCCTGGGCAGGCCCCATAGGCCCGCTGTCCCAACCCACAGGAGATGGGTGACTCCCAAGAGGTTGCTACCTCTCTGCCAGGATGCTTGTGGTACCTGGATCCAGGGTGGGTTTAAGGCCTGAGGTGTGCTGCCAACACAGCGCTGGGCAGGTTACCACCTTGCCTCTTCCTCTCCCTGACTCTGTGCCAGTCTCCCACCAGGGCAGCTAAGGAATGTGGACCCCTGACAACTTGGTTACTTTCGCAGGTGGTAGACAAGAGTCTAGGGTTGCTTGTAGCATGCAAGGGGAGGTTGGTGGCTGTGGGGGACAGAGCAGGAACAGAATCTGTCCCAGAAGCACTGTCCCGGGCATGAGCAGGAAAGCCCCTGACACATGCCCCAGTGTCCTGTCAGACTTCACTGTGTAAAACAAATTCAAAGATTAAATTATTAACGCTTTCAAGATAGTGACAATGGAGGCTAAACCCCAGCACCAGCCCTTCCTAGCACAGGGCCCTGGGCAGCTGCCTTGGTTGGTTGCAGTGCCTTCATCGGTCTTTTCTAAGAGCCTCCCAGTTTTTTGGGGTTTTTTTTGAAATAATTCAGTGTATTTAACTTCATATGTTAGAAATATTATTTCAGTATATAATCGATATAAAGTAAGTAATGAAATGTTTTATCCTCTTTTAAATCTTTCAAGTGTATTTAGAATTTTTTAGTTACAGTAAAATGGGCATGACAAAATTTGCCATTTTAAGCATTTTTAAGTGTACATTTTGGTAGCATTAATTACATTCATACTGTTTTGCACCTAGGTATTCATCACCTCAAAGGGAACACTGTCGCCATTAAGTAATAACTCCCTATCCCTCACCTCGGCCCCTGAGAGCCTCTGCTTTCTGTCTCTGCGGATTTGCTAGTTAAAGATACTTCATGTGAGCGGAATCATGTAATGTTGGTCCTTTTGTGACTGGCTTGTTTCACTTAGATTAATGGTTTCAGGGTTCATCCATGTTGTACCCCGTGTCAGAATGTTCCTTTTTTATGGCTAAATAATATTCCATTACACGAATATACCACATTGTATCAGTTCGTCTGCTGAGACATGCTTGGGCTGATTCTACCTTGTGGCTGTTGTGAATCATGCTGTAGTGAACTTGGCTTACAAGTATCTGTTTGGGCCCCTGTTTTCAATTTTGGGGTATTTGCCTCAGAGCATTGCTGGGTCATGTAGCAGTTGTTTAGCTTTTTGAGCAACCACCAAACGGTTTCCACAGTGGCTGCACCTTGTCTGTTCCCACCAGCCAGGCCTGTGGGACCCAGCTTACCCACAGTTGTGCCCAGGCCCATTCTTTTCCTCCGCTGTCCTCTTTTCTCTCCTTCTCTCTCTTCCTTTCCCTCCTTCTCCTGCCACTGTGGCTGCTGTGGTGGAGAGCATCTTTTCACGTGCTCATTGGCTGTTCGTACGTCTTTAGAGATTTATATTCAAGTCTTTTGCCCACTTTTAAACTGGGTTGTTTGTCTTTCTGTTGTTGAGTTGTAGTTTTTATATTTCTGGATGTTAAACTCTGATTAGATTTGTAGATATCTTCTATTCTGTAGGTTTCTTTTTACTTTCTTAATATCTTTCAGTGCACTAAAGGTTAAAATTTTGATGGTATCCAATTTATCTGTTTTTGTGTTTGCAGTGCTTTTTATGTCATATCTAAGAACCCGTTGCCAAATCCAAGTCAAGAAGATCTGTGTTTTCTTCTAAGAGTTTTATGGTTGTAGATCTTTTTGTTTAGATTATTGATCTGTTTTGGGGTTAATTTTGTATGTGGTATGAGGCAGGGGTCCAGCTTCATTCTTCTGCATGTGGAAATCCAGTTGTCTAGGCACCGTATATTTATTTGTATTGTTTGAGGTGCTGTCAGTTTACCATGTTGTGCAGATTTCTGGCACACAGCATAGTGCGTCAGTCATACATGAACATACATATGTTCGTTTCCATATTCCTTTTCACCGTAGGCTACTACAGGGTATTGAATATCGTTCCCTGTGCTGTGCAGTATGAACTTGTTGCTTATCTGTTTTATGTGTAGTAGTTAGTATCCACACATGTCGCACTCCCGGTTCATCCCTCCCCACTCCCTCCCCCATAACCATAAGTCTCTGCACTGAGCTCATACTGCTCCTGCTCTTTTCAGTTATCTTCATCTTTCTGTGTCATTAAATGTTCGTCTTCGCTAATACCCAGTCCATATTCTGATTTCTCCTGTTTCCCCTCAATATTTTGCACACTCACTTTGTCTGAACCAGGATTCTGTTTGGACCCATTCCATCTGGTTGTGGGGTCTCGTTCTGCCTCCCTCTCTGCCTTCCTGCCCCTCCCTGCTGTGTGAGCCCCATAGCTAAAGCCCCCAGTTTGTGGCCTGCCTCCCAGCCCTCTGCCCCGCAGTGCTCACTGCTGGTGGAAGACAGGTTCTGCTTGTGCAGTTTCTGTCTTGGAGAAGTTATTTGTGGGAGTCTCATATAAAACTGTGATGTTAGCTTGGACTGTTGCAGCTGTTTTCCCAGGTCTGCTGCTGGGAAGGAGCTCTGTCCCAGTTTGCCCTGGACTGAGTTTTCATTTCACTTTTCCTGCATAGATTTCTTAGGTACCAAGTAACCCCATCAGGTTCCAGTTAAATATTTCTGTATCTTCAGGTTCCAGTTAAATATTTCTGTATCTTCTGAAATTACATAATGATTTCTCTTGTTTTCTTTATTTTTAAAAGGACCTTAAAGGCTTTGATCCAGGAGAGAAGTACTTTTATAACACATCATGGGGAGATATTTCTCTCTGGGAACCTTCTGGAAAGAAAGTGGTATGAATTTTTAATTTTGATTTTCATGTTTACTCGCAAGTTGGGGGTAAGGGTCAGTTTAGTTCTGAGGAATGTGATATGTATTTGAGCTGCAGAGAGTGAGTGGGAGAGGAGGTGTGGTGTCAACGTTCAGGGAAGGAGAAGGAAAAACAAAGATAAATGTTTGTAATGTAGGGTTATTGATGCTTTGAGTGTTTCTGCACATGAAGTTGGTAAATTGATGTAGTGAAATTGATGTAAGAATGGCCTCTGGTTTATATGACTCTTCTGAGTATAAAGAAATGTTATATTGCTAAGTTGATACAATGGAAGTACATCCTGCTTTCAGAAACTGAAATAAAAAGTACGGATCTTTGAATCAAGTGCTATTTATAATAATTTGAAAGCTTAAGCTTAAGCAGATTCAAGCTAAAATATGTGACACACCGCCAAATTCTCCTTACTGAAATGCTTTCTTCTGGAAAACCTTTCCTCCCGCCCTGCCACTAGATTAGCACATTCATCATATCAGACTTGCCAGGTCCCAGATTTGATGTCACTGTCTCCCCGCACCACCATGCTTCGGCCTCCACTGCGTTTGTCCAAAATACGTTGGCCTTGGGAATTTTGACTTTAAAGAAGATTCCTGTAACTAGTCAGTCGTTTTTTTGTTAAAATTTTATTTAAAAGCATTTCTATTGTCAGCTCGTCCTCCTGAGCCCCACTGTTCTGCGTCTCTTACCCTCCTTGACCTGGCATGCCCCTCTCTACCAACAGACACGAGATGCCTTAAAACTGCTTCGATTTAGTGATTCTCCTCAGAACAGCTGATGGCTTTTCAAATACGCCTTGTTCTGAAGACCTTGGCTTAATGAATAGTTTCTTGGGCTTCACTGATTTTTCTCATCTGAATTAAAAGATTCTGTAATGTAACATGCACTATAATATATAATTATGTGCTTTACATCAAGAAACATTTTTTGAATTCCTGCTTCAACGTAGGTAAAACTTTCAGAGTAGTTGATAAAAAGAGATGAAAGTTAGAGTTCCTTATGGAGTTTATGTTTTTGTTGGGGTGAATAAGCCTGGCATAAAATGTTAAATAACAATATGAAATAGCAGAGATTGAGGTTGTGAAATAGAGACCGTATTCAGAAAGAAACTCGCTGTTGTCTGGTGTGGTGGAGGCTGTGTTGTCTGCTAGTTTTAGTACCTTACTGCTCTTCTTCCAGTAGGTAGCCCTCCTGCTCTAATTTGTCTGTGGGAGACAGGGTGTATGAATGGGACAGTTTCAGGCCCTGTGGCAGAAACGCGTGCTTCTGCTGCGGAGAAGCAAGGTGTGTTGCACTTGCGGGTTTGGGATGGAGACGGTTCAGCTAGGTCAGGTGGTGGAGCCCAGTGGCTGTGGGACCGGAGGATGCAGCCTTGGTCTGCAGGGGAGACGGCAGACGGCTGGGGGGAACAGGAATTCTTCCAGCACCCAGACCGTGACTCCACTTCTTTTCTGCTTCTCTCCTTGGTTATTTTTTCTTCTTCTGATACAGGGAACCACCGTCTCACTAGGATTGTTTCTGACTGATCACTGTCTTAGGACTTCCACGACAGGGTTTTGTGTGACCTTTGGCTTGCACTTCTGGGCACGTGCCCGGGCGTGGGATAGCTGGGTCGTAGATGGTAAATAAGGACGGATTTATCTCTGCAACAGACTGCCAGCCTGTTTCCAGAGCGGCTGCACCCTTGCACTTCCCCACCAGGGATGTGAGTCCTGGCTGCCCTGTGTCCTCACCAGGCTTGATATTGTCAGGGTTTTTGTATTTATGGACTTACTGCTTGTTTTCCATTTTAATAGGCGTGTAGTGGTGTCTTCTCTGGCTTTATTTGTGTTTCCCCAATGACTGATGGTGTTGAGCACCTTTCCGTGTGTTTATTTGGCATTTGGGTCCCTTATTTAAAGTACTCAGTGCTCAGATGTGCCCATTCTCTAAAAAACTGGGTCACTTGTTTTCTTACTGAGACATGAACATGTCCACAACATGTATTCTGGACACAAGTCCTTTACTAGATACGTGGTTTGCAAATATTGTCTCCTGGCCTGTAGCTTGTCTTTTTACTTTTTAACAATGCCTTTCAAAGAGAAGAAGATTTCTTACATTGATGAAATCCAGTTTATCATTTTTTTCTGTTATGGTGTCATAGGTAAAAAATCTTTTCCTTAACACAGAGATCTGTTCAGTACTAACAGATAGTAACATGCAGTTGTTAGTAAGTCATGTTGACTCTCTGAGTGTAGTTTTCATTAAGGATCTGGTTTTCTAATTCAGTATTTCATTGAGTATAAAATGCACCATTTTAAAATGAACCACTAATGAAACTAAAGCAATACTTTCCTTAGAAACTGTGTTGTACCATTGAACTGTCAGTTGTAAGTTGTTCCCAGATTTCAGAGATGCTAAAATACATGTTAAAAAGTGTGTTGGAGTCAGTGAGAAAAATTTTTTTTTAAATCTATGGTCTGTGGTTGGCTGTTCCCCTAGGTTTATTGTAGACCCTCCCAGAAGTGCCAGAACCTGGGATTTCTAATTGCTGAGAAGCCAGTGGTAGCGTGTTGTTGAGTGTGCTCAGGTAATTTCTGTGACCTGTGCATGACTAGGAGAGAGAAAGGGCGACAGAACTCATAGGCGGGGAGCGTGTGTGCGTGTGCGTGTGAGGAGAGTGACATGGGGGTGCAGCCTGGGGCGGGCGCAGTCGGAAGGGGTGTTGCAGAGTGAGCAGATGTCTGCCCGTGTATCCTCTGTCTGGGCCTGCCTCCCTCCTCTGTGAAACTGGGCCTGTGTTTTCTGGTGCACCAGCTCTGGGCTCTGGAGGCTGCCCCAGGACCAGAGCTTCTCTGCTTTCAGGTCGTCACCGACCAACCGGCAAGAGTTCTGGGCATCAGGCAGATTTTACTCCTCAGTTGACCTGCGGCTGTGTCTGTGGTGTTCCTGGGCCCCAGCTTGTTGAATTCCCACGTTTGCCTGACAGCGAAACACTATGTTGTCAGAGTTGTAGTCTGTGGCCTGAAACTTACTCAGGATTATTCCCAGTGAGTTTAGGCACAGTCCCTCTTTCTTCGCTGCCTGCCACGTGGTTTATTGAACACTTGAATGTGCTGAGCACTGTCCATGTCTCCTGCCTTCTCCAGGAATCTGGGAAATAAAAGACAGCTGTGATGGGTTTAATTTGCAAGTTTGGTTATATGTAGGTACATTCCAGAAGCTTTAGAATTTGGAGTAAAAACAACATTGGAGCTAAGAGAAATGGGATGGGAAAGGGAGAAAATGAAGTTCTCGTCCAGAGAATTAAGTGAGTTTATTTTAATTGATGCAGTTAATTGGAAGTGTAGGACTCAGTAATGAGATTTGTGGTTTAATGAATGGCTTGGGAACAGAGTTCAGGAAACTCAATATTCAGACCAAACTCTGTGTTTGTATAGCCTTCATTCTGAGAACAGTTGTTAAATTTTTAAACATTAGAGAAGGAAAAAAATGAAAATCCTGCTTTATGACATGTGAACATTTGAATTAGGATTTATAGTGTTGTTTACCCATTATCTGTGGGTGCATTTCCCTTCCAGCAAGCACAGTGCTAGTGGCCACAGAGGCTGCTGGTTGTCCACAAACCCTAAAATACTTGTTCTCTGGCCCTTTAAGGAAAAACGTATTTTGGCTTTAAAAAACATTGTTCTCTGAGGAGTGACAGCATTAAATAATCTAGCAAGTTAGAAGAAAAAGAATCGCGTACTTGTGAGCTGTAGAAGGTGTGGCATCTGATAGTTCTGTTAAACCATGCTTGATTTTCTTTTCTTTTAACAGAGATACCGAACAAAACCATACTGTTGTAGCCTCTGTAAATATTCCACAAAAGTGCTTACTTCATTCAAAAATCATTTACATCGTTATCACGAAGATGAAATTGACCAAGAGCTGGTGATCCCTTGCCCAAACTGTGTGTTTTCCTCTCAACCCAAAGTTGTGGGAAGACACTTCAGAATGTTTCATGCACCTGTTCGGAAAGTCCAGAACTACACAGTGAATATTTTAGGTGAAACTAAATCATCTAGGAGTGATGTGATAAGTTTTACGTGTTTAAAATGTAACTTTTCAAACACTCTGTACTACAGCATGAAGAAGCATGTGCTGGTAGCCCATTTTCACTATTTAATTAACTCCTACTTTGGCCTGAGAACTGAGGAATTGGGTGAGCAACCGAAAGCTGACGATACCCTTTGTACGGAGAAGATGCCCCCTTCTGACAGATATTACTGTAAAAAGTGCAGTGCCAACGCCAGCAGCCAGGATGCTTTAATGTATCACATCCTGACCTCGGATGTGCACAGGGATTTGGAGAACAAGCTCAGGTCCGTGATCTCAGAGCACATCAAGAAGCCTGGGCTCCTGAAGCAGATGCACATTGCGCCCAAGCCAGCTGCACACACGGCTGCCCCTGCCAGCGGCAGCACTGTGGGCGCCTCGGCCACGCCTCCGTGCTTCCGCCTTGCCTTGCCGCAGGCCAGTCAGAGCCAGACCTCAGGACAGCCAGTTCAGGGTGCAGCCCCGCCGGTGACCGTGGCCTCCGGTGCTTCTGGAAGCCTCACCCACTCTCCGCCAGCCGTTGCCCAGTCCCATGTGACTCTGGTCTCCAGTCCTCTGCCCGTGGGCCAGAACAGCCTCGCTCTGCCACCCTCAACGCCACAGCCTGTCTTCCTCTCCCACGGAGTCCCGCTTAGTCAAGCAGCAAACTCTCCTGTGTTGCCCTTGAGTCAGCCAGTTGGACCCATAAATAAGTCTGTTGGAACCGGTGTCCTTCCCATAAGCCAGACCATCCGCCCAGGGGTTTTGCCCTTCAACCAGCCTGTTGGGCCCGTAAGCAGACCAGTGGGGCCTGGAGTTCTTTCGGTAAATAGGCCCGTTGGGTCCGGTGTCCTTCCTGTCAATCCCTCTGTCACTCCTGGGGTGCTTCAGGCGGTCTCACCAGGGGTGATTTCTGTGAGTCGGACGGTCCCATCAGGGGTGCTTCCTGCAGGACAGATGACCCCTGCTGGGGTCATCCCTTCGGGACAGGCAGCAACTTCTGGGGTCCTCCCTGCTGGCCAGATGGTTCAGTCGGGGGTTCTCCCCATCGGCCAGACGGCTCCATCAGGGATGCTCCCCACTGGGCTGACGGTCCCACCACGGGTCCTCCCTTCTGGCCAGACAGTCCCCCTGAGGGTTCTCCCTGCCGGCCAGGTGGTCCCACCAGGGCTCCTTCCTCCCAACCAGACGGTCTCATCAGGTGTTCTCCCGGTGACCCAGGGTGTTAACTCTGGTGTTCTTCAGCTCAGCCAGCCTGTTGTGTCAGGGGTTCTTCCTGTGGGCCAGCCAGTGAGGCCAGGGGTCCTGCAGCTTAATCAGGCTGTGAACACCAGCATTCTGCCTGCAAATCAGCCCGTCAGACCCGGTGCTTCACAAAACACCACTTTCCTGACATCAGGCTCCATCCTCAGACAACTGATACCCACAGGAAAACAAGTGAATGGGATTCCCACGTACACACTCGCCCCGGTTTCTGTCACTTTGCCCGTGCCACCTGGGGGTGTTGCCACTGTTGCCCCTCCCCAGATGCCCATCCAGCTGCTGCAGTCGGGCACAGCTGCACAGATGGCCAGTTCCGTGGCCAGCGTGCCCTCCCCGCCAGTGGTGGTGAATGCCGCTCAGAATGTGTTGGTTCAGGCGTCTTCGTCGGTGTCAGAGTCACATCAGGCGCTCAGGCAGGCGAAGCAGTGGAAGACCTGCCCAGTGTGCAGCGAGCTCTTCCCTTCCAACGTCTACCAGGTCCACATGGAGGTGGCGCACAAGCACAGTGAGGCCACGTCTGCCGACAAACTGGAGCCGGAGAGGCTGGCGGCGTGCGCGCCGTTTCTGAAGTGGATGCGGGAGAAGACTGTGCGGTGTCTGTCCTGCAAGTGCGTAGTCTCGGAGGAGGAGCTCATCCACCACCTGCTGATGCACGGCCTGGGCTGCTTGTTCTGCCCGTCCACCTTCCATGACATCAGAGGCCTTTCGGAGCACAGTAGGACCGTGCACCTGGGGAAGAAGAAGTTGCCCGTGGATTACAGTAGCAGAGGCTTTCAGCTGGACATTGATGCCAATGGCAACCTGCTGTTCCCCCACCTCGACTTCATCACCATCTTGCCCAGGGAGGAGCTGGGGGAGCGGGAAGTCTACTTGGCAGTCCTGGCTGGGATACACTCCAAGTCGCTGGTGCCTGTGTACATTAAGGTGCGGCCCCAGACCGAGGGCGCCTCTGGGAGGCCTGGCAGACAGGCCCTGACCTGCCCCTTTTGCTTTGGCACCTTTGTGACGGCAGAGGCGTACGAGCTGCACCTGAAGGAGAGGCACCACATCACGCCCACAGTCCACACGCTTCTGAAGTCGCCGGCATTCAAGTGCATCCACTGCTGTGGGGTCTACACGGGCAACATGACCCTGGCCGCCATCGCCATCCACCTGCTGCGCTGTCGGAGTGCTCCAAAGGACAGCAGCTCCGATGTCCAGGTCCAGCCGAGCTTCATCGAGAACAGCGAGCTGCTTTTAGTCAACGGTGAGGTGATCCAGGACTCCAGTTTTTCTGTGAAGAGAAAGCTGCCTGATGGCCACTTTGGGGCAGAAGACCAGAGGGACGGCGAGGAGAGGCCTCCTGTCACACACGCTGCCACAGACCCGGCTCCAGAAAAGGGGACGAGTGTTGTGCCTTGTAAAAGACAGAGGAATGAAAGCCGGACGGAGGGGCCACTTGTTAGTGACGATGCTCTTCAGATTTTAGCATTAGACCCTAAGAAATATGAAGACCGTTCTTACGAAGAAAAAAAGCAGTTTCTTAGAGATTATTTTCACAAGAGACCATATCCTAGTAGAAAGGAAATAGAGCTGTTATCCTCACTCTTATGGGTGTGGAAAATTGATGTGGCTTCATTCTTTGGAAAAAGAAGATACATTTGCATGAAAGCAATAAAAAATCACAAGCCTTCTGTGCTTTTAGGCTTTGATATGTCTGAACTTAAAAATGTTAAACACAGATTGAACTTTGAGTATGAACCACAAAACTTGTAAAAAAAAATAGGAGATTAAAGTACTGATAATTAGTCGTTTTTTCAATTGAGATTTAAAAAACTTATTTTCTTCACTGTATGTTAAACTAATCAATTCAGTGGTCTTTATGCTGCTCTTTAGATTTATTTCAGGTGCTCGGAAAGACTTCTGTATAAAGAAGTGAATAGTTCTTTCAAATTTGTTGTTTCCTGCAGTTTGATTTTATAACAATTATTTTTCGTTATTTTTGTCATGTAAATTAAATCTTTTAATATTTCATGCACGCCTTGTTTTCCCAGTACTGTCGGTATCGTACGAGAAAAACTGAAATCTATGTATGTTTGTTTTTCATTTAAGGAAGTTTCAGCTTGTTTCAGAATACTTGATTAATTGCAAATTAAAACATTAACCTCCCTCAGTTAACAGCAAATGATACAGTAAAAGTTTAGAGATGTGAGTATAAACCCCTGTGACGTGTGGTTCCTTAAAGATGCACTGCATTAACTTAAGCTGATTTCTTCTTTGTAAAGTATTTGCTTATTAGATTGTAATTTTGATTTACAGCTTTTCAGGTTTGTCCTGACAGCTGTTTTTGATTATAACTCAGAAAACCAAATGTTTTCATTTGTTAAAAATACACCAGACCTGAAGTCTGGTATTTAAGCTCATAAGTCAAAAGTCATTTTGCAACTAAAGTAATTCTGTAGGTGCAGAAATACGTTTCAGTGTAAACTTTCCCCCTCTTTTTGATATGGTGGTAAGTCTTTTCTCCATTCAAAGAAAACAATGAATCTTTAGTGCCTTTAGAACTGAAAACACACACACAAGCTCTCCCCCGAACCTAACTGTTCATAAACCAGTGCAAGGGAAGGACTGTGTTGCTCAGGAATAAAGTATTGACCCCTGAGTGTGGATACTAACTGGAACTTAAACACAGGTGTTCAGGGGATGCGGTGAAATGACCGGACCAAGAGCTAACCTCGTGGTCGGTGTGTTAATAACTCTGACAGTGTCCTAGGCAGTTTGCTGTGGGCTTTCCCATAGCCCAGTTGTCCAGGTTAGTGGGAGAGATACTGCTGAGGAACTCAAGTGTATTGCTGTCCTTTGGACGGCTAAGCCTCGGCCTTTTCACACAGTATAAAATAACTGAAAGCACCAGAACCGCTAAGGGAGACCAGCCAGTTTATACCTGAAGTCGTTAAGTCGTATTGCCGGTGACTGAGGGCAGGGCCTCTGTGCAGCCTCCTCAGCAGATAGGACCGTCTCTGGGAAGTAAGATAACGTTACCATGTGGGCTTTTACAATGTAACACTTGCATGTCGTTGCTGTAATGTGCATTTCTGAGGCAGTCGTGAAGCTGGTGTGTGATTGTTGGTGTGCTCTCCTGTAAATTCAGAGCTTGTTCACTTTTTTTTTACCTGTTGTTTTCAGAGTGTCTATTTTGAATTAAAATTTGTTATACCACTGCATGTAGAACTGTTTAATTTTTTTAACGGTTAAAATGTCACAGTGATTCAAGAATATAAACGTGGAAATAATCATGTTTATTTTCTAAAAAACATTGTCATTGTGAAAATATGCATAACCCCAAAGGGCTGACTAATTACAGGGTCACAAAATAGATGTAGCTGGACTTGTCGTGTCTAACGGTGGCCCCGGCCATCAAAGAGAGGTCGGATGGCTGGAAGTGGCCTTTCTCCAGGCTGTGTCTGTCCCACCAGCGCACCTGCCGCTGTCCGCTTGCTCTTGTCATGCACTGAACTAGGGGTTCTGCTGGCGTTTGGGGCCTGATGTTTCTTTGTTGGGGTGACCATCCTGTCCACTGCAGGACTGGAGCAGCATCTCGGGTCTCTACCCTCCACGTCATTGGCACCTCCACCCTGACCCAGTGCTGCAACCAGATGTCCCCGGCCACGTGTCCCGGGGGCACGTCAGCCCTGAGGAGAACCACTGTGATGCAGGAGTTCTGATTCCTAATTGTATTCCAGCAGTAGTTCAGCTTTTGATGTCAAACCCTTTTATATTATGCTGGTTATTTTAGTTACTAAACAAAACTGTTTTAGGCTTAAAGATCAAAATTTGATATAAATTGAAGTATCAAAATGTACATGTGGGTGTTCTTGTAAAAAATGAGTAAACTTATTTGAAAATGAAAAACTACAGATTAATAGTTGAGTGGTGGACGTTTTTAAGCTATCATTTAAAAGATGATTAGAAGTTGAGAAGGGGAGGAGACTTTTATGGTGGCTGCAAAAAGTGTGCTTGGAAAATGTTTACCTAGTTAGCAACAACTTTAAAAATACTACATATTCGAGGTCTGTTTGGTTGAAGACAAATGAGAATGGAGCTTACTATTTTAGCTTCTGAGTGCTGTTACTCTTTTTCGGGATGTGTTATTTTTTAATGACTAGAACCCACTTCATTGACAGTGAATAATGAGTGAGATGATAATTCAGGAGCCCCAGAAAGCAGCCTGTTCAGAGTGACGGGATGAGCACGTGGCCACCCCCACCTTCGCTCATTTCCCTTTTGATCTTTGCTCCCCTACCCGTGCAGCATGCTGCTTCCAGAGGGGACGACTCCTTCAGATCAGTCTGTCCTGGAGCCTTGGTAACTTAGCTGAGAATCATGTCTTTGATTTCACGTCATCCTAAGGCCCGTGAATATTTTCTCTGAGGAGCTGCAGGTGAGGTAGGTAGAGGGGCAGGGTGTGGCCCCCACAGCACCAGACCAGAAGCGTGGGAAGCAGGTTACTCCTCGGGGCGGCGGGAGTACCAGCCTCCAGGGTCTGTCTGGGCCGTGGGGCCGGTGCGAGGCCAGGCTGATAGCAGGCGGGTGCTGCAGGGACAGCATGGGTCCCACGACAGTTCTGGCACCACGGTGGCAGGAGGCTGCAGTGTAGATGGTGTCCCCACCCTTCTGTCCTTCCTGCTCATCAACGAGATCAAGCAAAACAGCTGGTCAGTGAAGAAGCCAGACCAGCCCTGAAAAGGACAAGGGCCAGAAGACCCTCATCCACATGCCACCAGGAGACCGTGACACTCACTGTGTCACCACCCCGGCAGAGGGGCTCCTCCAGGAGCCGCTGGTCCAGGTGGCTGTGGGGAAAGGGCTGCCGCTCACACAAGACCTGTCAGCTGGCCTCCCAGGTGTTGGGGACCCAGCATCCTCTCCCTCAAGCTCAGGCTGTGTGTTTCTGGTTCTTCATTCAGTGCTGAAGTGAGACCTCTGGGAATTCCATGCTGTGCTGTAGTTGGTATCTCCTACCTTCAGTTTGGCTTGCAGGACACAGGTGTTCCCTGAGGCCGGTCAGCACAGGAAGTGCACCCAGGGCTGCGGGTCCAGGGAGGGCAGGCGCCCACCTCTTGTTACCCTTTACCAACAGCCCTTTACGTTTGGTGACCGACTTAGTGCTTACTCTGTCTGCACTGGGAGCTGACGTGCATTTTAACTCAACAGTCTTACAAAGTGAATGGTAGTGTTCCCTTTGCCTACAAGGAAACAGACGTGGAGAGGTTAGTAAGCTGCCCATGGCGGGGAGCTGGGGAGGTGGAAAGAGCTGGGGTGGTAACGGGGGCCTAGCTTCGTGCTTTTAGCTGATCTGATACCTTCCTCTGTTCGTGTAGGTCCCTATTTAAGCCTCGTAATAATCCCGTGATGTGGGTACATTTTAACCTGCATTTTACAGATGACGAAATGGGTTCCAAGATAGAGTGGCCAGCTGCCCCAGTTTGCTCAGGACTGAGGGATTTCTCTAAGCTTTCAATGCTAGGAACATCCAGGAGAGTTGGTCACCCTGCTCAGAGTTCACTTGGCGTCCTGGTTGAGTTAGAACAACAATAAAAGAAATACAGATGTGCTATTTAGATATTTTTGGATGTCTCCCCATGCTACTAAACAGAGTCCCTACTAAACTTCTATCAACTGGAATAAAAGTTTCATCCATCAGGTACTGCAAGAAAAGTTTTCTTTAGTTTTAAAACATAAGCTTTATTTCATTCTCTTATTGATTATAATTTTAATGTTCTCAAACCAATTATCTTTTCGTGGGTGATGAGAGGAAATATCTAAACATTACATATTCCTACTGTTCTGGAATTTGTATTTTCTGTTACGTAGTTATTAGAGCTCAGCTTTAGAATTTTTCTGATTTTTGGTAATTTGTCCTAATTACTAGTCTTTAAAAATTTTAAGTTTAAAAATCATTTTAGCAATAAAGATGTTGCAGAGGGAAATGCTTCATATTAAGTGAATGAGCCCTAAGAACATAATACTTGTAACACTGCCCAGTAGTTACCTTCTTTCATATTCTAAACTCAGGAGTTTCTAAACATTGATGAAAGTTAAAGTCGCCAACCTGCTTTCAAGTAACTAACTGGAGTGACCATGTACATCAACCAGACAACTTACACCAAAGAAGGGGGTGCAGAACTGATGCAGGGACTTCCGAAACGCGCCGGGGAGACCCAGCTCAGCCCCTGCAGGTGGCTGGCTCCCGACTCCAGTCACCGCACTCCAAGGACGCCAGCAGAGCCCTTTGAACTGTGTTCGGCTTTCAGGTGAGTGCTCTTTGCCTCACTCGCTAGAGAAGCAGCAGCCCCCAGAACTCACACGCCGCCACGTGGTTCTTGGTGCCCTGTCTCCTTGTCACCGCATTTCACGACTGACCTTGTTTTTATTCACAAGTGTTGGTGGTGGCCATCTGGGTCCAATAACTTAGAAGTAAGCAGAGCAGACATGTCCCAACACCCAGTACCGCAGAATTTTCTGTCTCCTAGCTGTGGACGTTGCCAATTTTTTTTTGCTTCTATATAACATTCTGTGTTAAATGATTTGATGACTAAAGGTGAAGCTGAGATACTAAAAATAGGTGTGTTTTTACTGACAACATGGCATCAATTCAGTATTTTATGTAAAAATTTTTTTTATTTTGTGGGGGAGGTAATCAGGTTTGTTTGTTTGTTTATTTATTTAAATGGCAGTACTGAGGACTGAACCCAGGACCTTGTGCATGCTAGGCACGTACTCTGCCACTGAGCTATACCCTCCCCGCCAATTAAGTATTTTAGAAATGAAAATGAAAAACTTACTAAATTCAAGGTCTATTAGGTAACAGATTAGATTGACTGGGGATGTTAACCCGTCTACAAGTTCTTATTTATTTGAGTCCCACGTAGAAATGAATCTTTAAGTACATCTTTAGCTGTTTGGAACTGCACACTGTTGTCCAAATGAAACATCTTATTTCCAGAATCAAAATACTTACTCACAGCCTTCTGAAAAAGGCTACACTCTATGCAGTATGTATCTCTCTAAATAAATCTACCTGTATTAAAAAAAAAGCTTACCCATAATATCAGGGGTGAGGTGTGATTTAAAGGTTATCCCTAATCTGCTTTCTCAACACTTGAGAAGTTCTGCATACGAACTGTCTAACCTTGCTCTGTGCCATCTGAGAACCGCCACCAAGCTCTGGCCTTGCTCTGCCGGTTTTTCCACTTGCAATGTGGTGAGTGGGGAGAGGAGACTCCTTCTGTGCTTCATCAGAAGTGGCCTCAGTGTTATCACATGTTTTACCTTCAGTGCACTAGAAACAGAGGTGGATCTTTGCCACTTCCTGAACAGTTAGCTGGCAGGTGGCCTACTGGCAGTGACCTGTGTAAGAACAGGTCTGCTCTCCTACAGGGTTGCCACAGTGGCTACAAAAAGAGGCTAGACACCCAGGATCTTGTAATAACCTGCAATGGAATATAATCTGCAAAAAAACCCTGATCACTATGCTGTACACTTGACACTAACACAATGTTGTAGATTCAAAGCATTCAGAAAATAGTATATTCCTGCAGGTGACCACAACGGTCTTTCTGCTTCCTAATATAAAGTCTGCCTCAATCCAGATCGTTTGGATGTGCAACTCAGACTGCTTAGATTATCGTACAAGTCTTGAGATCGTCTCTCCCCAGCCCCTTCCGCGCACCCTCGGTAGTCAGATGGGGGTAAGCGGTGTGCGGGAAGACGGTGCTGGCATGACTAGTTTTCTGTGAGTTAGAAGTTAATATTCATTTATTAGAAAGATTAAGCTGCTCCCTACAAGTGGTGCTGTTGTGACCTCCCAGCACTGACCTCTCACTGCTGAACCGCTGTGTGTGTGTGCCGCAGCAGCAGCAGCAGCAGCAGGACACCATTTCCTAAGTACTTCTCTGCAGGGATGATGCTGCAGACCTCTCTTCTGAAAGCAGTCGAGGGTCCCTGGACCAGACTTCCCTGGGTTTGTGCTACACACGCTTGTCTGCCTGTCTGAGCTCGTATCAGTTTGGATGTCATGTGCAGCAGTACGAAGATGCTAACGGAAAAGGGCAACTTGTGTCCCAGTGAAGTGCTTCAGTTGTTGAGTTATTTGTATCATCCTGAGTTCATCTGAATCCTTAGAACATGTAAGGGGGGCTGCACCTGCCTCGTTCCAGTAGCT